CCACACACTTACCTGGGAACACTTGTTACCTCCGCCGGGTCCATGATACTATCCCCCATTCCCCAAACTACTTGGGTGTGGAGGGAGGGTACTGAGGGCAGATAAGCCATAGGCTCCTTCTGCCCTCGGTCAATCTGTTGGGAGGAGAGGAAGGGCATGGCCTGCCACACGCTGTGTGTGTGTCTATGGACGCATATGGCTACTTGCAGGCACGGCATGCATGGGTGCCTCCCCAGCAGCTGGCTAACTGATGGAGACACCTGCACACAGGTAGGGGGAGTTTGGGAACCAACCAAAGAACAAGGAAATGCAGCATTTTGAACAGCAAGAATGGACGATTTACATAAGTATGGGCCTCCCATTCATAAAATTAATTTTTAAAAAACCTGAAGGTTTAATATCACTTTAACCACTTGCTGCCCTGAGCAATTTCTTACTATTTTCACACACTTGATGAAATCTGAATTTTTGGCTAGAGAACGGCTTCAAACCCCCAAACAATTATATTTTTGAAAGCAGAGGCCCTGTAGAATAAAAAAAGTGGTAGTTTCAATTTTTTATGTCGCTCGGTATTTGCACAAATGTTTATGAAACAAGTTTTTTTTAGGATATAATACACTAAAATAAAATTTAGTGCAAAGAAACAGAATAGAATACCCAATTTTTTTGTAAAGTATAAAAGACGGGGTTACACTAACTTTATTGCGATCACATAGGGGGATAACAAGCACCCTATGTAATAGCAAATAGGATGTGACAGGTCCTCTTTATGGGGACATCAGGGGTCTTTCAAACCCCTAATGTCACCTTGGGACCCCAAAGAAGCCGAGGAAGCATAGATCTGCTTCCCCAGCTTCTTCTCCTGGCTCTAACAGTTGGAGAATGTAAACAATTACACTGGAAGTGATGTAATACACATCACTTCTGGATCCCAGCAGCCCAGGGACAAAGAGGCTGCTGGGACCGGTGTAGCAGCCAGACTGGATCGAGGATCAGGTGATTATATATCTTTTTCTTTAATTTAGACCCTCGTTTTGAAATAAGGCTTCATTCATTTTTATGCAGAGATCTGTCTGCAAAATCTGTCAGGCTGGATGCTCTGTTTACGCTTCATAGATGCTGAAAATGACCAGCATTTACATGAGTTTATATGCATATGCTTTTAGATGCATCTGTCCATTGTCCAATGAAACAGTCCATTGGAGTAGCCAATAAGATTTCTGCAAATAATTGCGTCTTGCCCCCTAATGCGTTTTGGTGCATTTACAAGTTCAAATCAATTCCTGGACGCACCTGATTTCTATTTTATCTAAACGCATATATACTGACTGCAAATAAAAGCATCTAAACACAAGGTGTAAATAGATCCATTGGAAATCATTAGACGCAGCCTAAAGGTTTAACATAAATGAATAATGTCTATGGCGGTTCTCATTCATCCAGGTCATGGTATATTATAAAAAAAATCAAGGCAACTGGACTCGCTGTATTTTTCTTGAAGATGTTTCACTGGTCATACGACTAGCTTACACAATCCAGAATGAGAAAGATAGTCGGATGACAAGCAAAATGTCGCTTGATGTAGCTTGACCAATGCATGGGGTTGTTCACATCTCACAGCTCAATGTCGCCTGTAGCTTGCCGCTAAAGCTTGTAGCTCGGACATGAGCTATTTTTCGGCTGATTTTGGCCCCAATAGACTCAATGGTGTCGATCAATTTCGCGCATTACCGGCAAAATTGCACGACTTTGTCGCGCTACAGAAGTGTCGGTTTTGCACAGCAATATGGAAAGAAGGAATGATGTCACATCAAGACTGCTTTTGTTTGGTTACAGCCCAATGTAGCAGCGACAAAGTCCCTCCCAATAGCCGCGCTACGTAGCGTGAATAAATGTGCAATGTAGCTCATGTCGCTCAGCTCGAAATCGCGCAGAATTTTTTTTTCATGTCGCTCAGTGTGAATGGGGTCTTACTGGCCAGATCACCAGATAGTAAAAAAAAAAAAAGAAAAGGAAACAAAGCACATGTAAAAGCAAAAGTGTAATTTATTGCAGCTTACCACTTCTTAGATGTGATGTCTGCAATTAATTGCTACAAGCATAAGCTTTGGAGCTGTAAATCATTTGTATAAAACAAACTAAATGTACTCTTTTGAGATTTTCGGTTTTATTTATGCTCGCTACCATTGAACAAACTGCAATAAAATCAAACTCTGTAGTCTAAATGAGGTTTGTTTTTGTTTTTTTCCTAGGATATTGTGAATACCGTCATAAAGCATTGCTCGTCCAGTTTCTTCTTCCTCAGCTTGCCTGGCTTTACAATGCTGATAGGAGACTTTATCACAGCTGCGGCCAAGGTTCTCAGTACAGACATGTTCGAGGTGAGTATGACAATGCTCTTTGTGCACACTCTCTGGAGAGAGCCCAGTCACTAACAAGGTTCAGATTTCTCCACTCTAACAGGTGTCAGCTCATTAGTACAACGTGAAACTGGTCTCCGGGGGAAAGATACCAGGACAGCTGATGTGTGAAATTGTAGGATAGGATGACACACTGCTTCTGCAGAGGTGTTTCATCAAGGAACTGAAGTTTAACAAATCATATCTTCACTAATATTGTGGCAGGAACTGTGTAGACTTTGGTTTCACAGCCTCATTAGCTTTGTTCAATAAAGGGGAATGAAAACGCCAGGGTTTTAGAAAGGTGCTATTGTGCAGGGCCTGAGGCTGCGGGACATGTCTGCTCTGTCAAAGGTGACCAGGCTAAAGAAGAAAATACCATCACACTTCATGGAAAGTTTTACAGTAATGAGAATAGCAAATGGCAAACTTTTTTGGGAAAAAAAGAGGACTTTCGCTGGTATAATAGGATGGAAGCCACCTAAAATCTTTTTCTTTAGTTTTAGAGTAATTTTTTAATGAAACCAGATCGTAATATAGGTACATCTACAAGTAATGAAGACCACTGGCATTCTTTGGTTTACAATTAATATTACTGGCTTATTCTTAGGTGACCATATTCAGACTGTAATGCACGGTCTTGGCATAAAGAAAATCCTGTGTAATGTCAGGTAGCCAAACAACCTAAAAACTAAAACGAGGTTTGTTTTTGTTATTCAAAAAAAGATTGGCAGAAAGGCGCTGCCTTTCTTTTTTTTTACAGTTCTCTGAGCTCCTAAAGAAGAACTTCAGGTAAGGCTATTTGTAGATAAACTGCATTTAATACAAAGTACCACTACACATGTGCAGAAATAACCCAGGCTGCATGGTTTTCTTATCTCCTTTATCTCTTATCTCCTGATTAAGCCTAGATATAACAGACATATAACAGAAGTGCTGTCAGTATTACATGTGAGGACAGCCTGGCTTGTGTTTCAGTCATCAGGCAAGAGACAGGACAGCCTCTATCCTTACAGCCTAAGGCTGGGCTCACACCTAGGCGTATTGAATACGCGCGTTTGTACCGCGATTAGCGGTAAAAAAAACGCGCGACAAACGCGTGTTTCCGTGGGCTACTTGGCTGTATCCCGATGGAACCGCGAGACCAAAACGCCCCAAAGAAGTACATGTACTTCTTTGGGCGTAGGCCGTTTTGTAGCGCGTTCCGACGTGCTGAAATACGCCCAGGTGTGAACCATACCCATAGGAAACAATGGGATTTCTGTGTTTGAGCGTTTTGCAGAGCGTTCAAACGCACTACAAAATGCCCAGGTGTGAACCAGGCCTAAAGGTGCCCATACACCTGCCGATTATGCCGCGATTGTACAATAATCGGCAGGTGTATGGAAGGCGTGCGACCGTTTGAAAACCTGCCGAAAATCGTGCGATTTTCGGCGGGTTGGTGGAGTGGTCAGAAGACAAATGCCGAACTGGCCTGTGTGCGCAAGCGCACACTGCCCGCTCAGCATTGGAATCATCGAAAGCCCTCCCCTCAGCGATGATCGCAAGTACGATCTGCCTGTCCAAGATGGGCGGATCTTACGAGATTTTAATTACTTTACAAAGTCGTGCGATGGTTGTAAGGTGTATGGCCAGCTTAACACTGAGTACTGTTTCTGCTCTGACAACCAAACAATACAAGTGACTAACAGGACACAGGATCCCTGAGTGGTAGGAATGTACTACAGGGGTGTGGAATTCCTATCGCCCGGGACATGCAGTTTCGGGCACTGGGCGAGTAGTTTTAATGTACATTTAGCCCGGCTCCGGACAAGCAGAGCTGAATGTCATTGTGGAGCCGCCGCCGCTCATTTAGTACAAGTGATCTGCTCAGACCACTTGTATCAATTTGAGCAGCGGCGATCATTTCTGCCCGCACCACATGCCGTAGTTTTCGGGGTCCCCCGCTATCCTGGGGGACCCTGAAAACTACGGCAAAACGGCTAAGCCATAGAGCCCGTAGAGCAGACGAAGAACTTCTGCTCTAAGGGCTCTCTGTGTGTTCTCTGAGACTGAGACCGTGGCGCTGTAATCACAGCGCCACCTGTCTCGGCTGTCAGGAACTACACAGAACAGCTGTTCTGTGTTGGAGGGCAGGTTACATAAAGAGAACCTGTCACCTCCAAACTAACACATAAGGGATTTGAATCCCCTATGTGATAGGAAGAACATTAAGGGGAAAAAGTAAATAAATACAAATTTGAAGAAAATTTTAAAAGTTAAAAAAAATATATATATAAAGATTTAAAAAATGAAACCCTGCTGCCCCTGCCATCTGCATGCGTAGGACATTCTGCATGTGCTTTGAGATTGCAGCCACCATTCCATGGTGGTAGCCAGAATTCTCTTACACACACAATGTGCATTAAAGGGTAAGCTCATTTTTCCCAGGTAATATGGGAAAAAAAATTACCCGATTAAATCTGGCCCTGTCTCTCCCAAACCGCCACTCCCCTGGCTATACTTACCTTTCGGCGAACAATCCCTCCCCTCCGCCAGTATGGGTGTACTATCTGTCCCCCGTACTGCTGTCCAGCTCAGTGTCCCCCCCTCTGCATTTTGAATTTCGCTCGCAAATTGCAAGCACTCATTGGTCAACGGGGTCAGATGACTGCGCTGACCAGTGAGATGCGCTATTTAGCACAGTAAAATATGTTTTGATTAGGGGTGCACCGATACTAGTATCAGTGCCGATACCGAGTATTTGGGCGAGTACTCGTACTCACCCAAAAGATACCTTCGCCGATATTGGAACTTACGGCCAGATGAAAATTTCCTCTGACTGGCAGTGCCGTAGGGGGAACATGGAGCCAGCTTCCCGTGCAAGTAATGACCCGCCTCCTGGCTTTCTGATTGCCGGGAAGCCGGCTCCTTGCTGATTGGCTGGAAAGCCGGCCTCCTTGTCATGAAGGACAAGTAGATTTGGCCATCGCTTTAGCCCTTGGACATGTATTTTTTTTTTTTTTTATTTCCACACCCCTCTACTAGTATAGCAACATAAGAGTGAAGATCCCTTTCCTAACGGTTCTTTTTTAAAATGTTAATGTGTTTGGTCACTTATCTCTAGTGTACAAGTTTATAGTTGTATACTGTGCCTCTTAACGCTGTTCACATGTAATAAAACAAATTGTGAAAGAGAAAAGACAATGTACACCTTTTATAGACCTAGAATTTCATATACCCTTTAATTATATGCACGCAATCTTTATTTATTATATAGACTAGCAAATGAGAGAAGTATGGAGTGTATGGCGGCAGGCACTACGTGATAGAAAGGAGTTTGGGGGGCATGATGGAAGGAAGGGTATGCAGGAGAAGGGTGCATGGTGTACAAAAATGGGCACAGTGAAGTGGAGTGGAGTGACGGAGGATACAATAGTAAACAGTATGTGTAGGAAGGATGAGAGGAGTGCCGAGAAAATGACAGCAGGCAATATATGTAGGAGTGAATTGGCAGATGGTACAGTGGCAGGCAGTAGATGCGGGATCAGAATATAGAGGGTATGGTGGCAGGCAGCAAGTCTAGTAGAGCAGTGCAGAGGGGAACGTGGCAGACAGTATGTGCAGGAGTGGAGTGCAGAGCTTATGACAGCAGGATATACAAGAAAAGGGATGCAGAGGATATGACAGCGAGTAGCATGTGAAGGAAAAGAGTGTAGAAGGTGGGATGGTGGTCAATACATGCAAGAGACGAGTGCAAAGTGTGTGGTTGTGGTAAATATGTGCAAAAGAGAAGTGCGGACATAGGACAGTGGGCAGTATGTACAGGAGAGGAGTGTATGATGGCGAGCAGTATGTGTAGGAGAGGAGTTGTTTGGTGCATGTTCAGGATTAACTTCCCAGAATGGTCAGAATAGGGGCAGCCCTAGAGATGCTTTTTTCTGCTTATAAGTGGCAGGTGGGTAGATGATCATGTGAGGGGGGCGTTCATGGTACAGCAGAAGGGGAAGCTGAGTTATGGAGAGCTGTACTGCCAAGAGAGGGAAGCTGAACTTTGAAGAGGTTTACTGCCAGGAGGGGAGCTAAGCTGTGGGAAGGTGCACTGCTGGGAAGCAGGTTCTGGTGCTTGTCAAACTTTTGCCTTTCATGGCTGGGGAAGTGCACTGGGTATCTTTTTGCTTTGCTGCCTATGGACTGGAAACAGAAGTAAAAAGTTACACGTGCCTCTTTCTTTTTCCACTAGTGGCAAAATGGAATTGGACTTAATTATTCTATTGTTAATGGATTGCCTCTAATTGTTGGCAATTGAAGGGATCTTGGATTGCTTTAGTTCAGACCAGGATTAGCCATTGAAAGTAAGCCTGAGACAAAATTGTGAAAAATACTTTATACTCCACTGGAGAGTTTGTTTATATGTCTAAATATAACACAGTTCCTTTACATGATAGATCAGCTGGTCTTTTAGGTTACTCTGTGTAAGAACTAACCCAGATACCAAGCAAGTATCCTACATTTCAGCCACTTGCTGCTTATAACTTATGTGATCTGAACCTGTTCAAAGATATTTGCCAAAGGTAATCTAAACACTATAGAGCCACCTTGATGCTTGCCATTTAAAGCCATCTTGTTTTATTTTAAAAATATAGTACAGAAAACAATTAGCATTATTAATCCTATTAATCTTTTTTTCTATTATATTTGGACATTTGCCTGCAAATAGCCTATTGAGAAAGATGTTTCCCTGGAGAAAAATCAGCTTTGAAGCATATGCTTTGTCTTGTTCTCTGTAGCAATTTGTGAGGCTAGGAGAGGGAATATGGAGTTTGTGAAGATGGGCTGGATATGATTGAGAGATGAAGCGGTGCAGCATTCCTTGTATTTTTCTGCTCAAAAAGCTCCATTATTCTTGCAGCATCTCTAAGCTGCACTATTTTTAGTTGCCCTTTTCCACTTTTGTAAGCTTTTCTGTCTCCATGTTACTGACAGAATCCCATCATAAGTAC